AAGTTTGCAACTATGCCACAGAAAACTAAACTGCATACACTCAGATAAAGCGAGATTAAAATCGTCTTCCGTTTTCCAAACCTGAGACACAATATCATTAAATCTATTTTTCGAATTTCTGTATTACTACTAGCAAATGTTAACGGCAGCTTAATGGTTACAGTTTTTTTACCCTACCTTTTTGCCAATGGTCCTACAATAATAACTGAAACTGCTAAGGAGAAGAACAGAATGTAATCCAATAATCCTTCTTTCCAATGATACAGTCCAATGTCACATGAAACTTGTTGAGTTAACATTCCTGATACGTGAGGAAATATGGTTATCAGGCTTCCTCGTGTGTGTTACAGAGTAGGAGTGGGGTTTTCAATACAAGGAAGGCTATCTTGTAAAATGTAATGTGCAGAAAGAAATTAAAAATGTTCACTTCAAAAATAATTCGAGACAGAAGTAGATACAACTTTGAAAGTTACACCAACCAGGCAAATCCATCTCTGTTCCATCTGCAAAGTCGCATAGAAGAATACATATCAACAACATCTTATCATTCCTTTTCCAAGTTGTTTGTTGCTGGTCGTCAACCAGGACATCATTCTCACCGTTTTTCATTTCTTTTAAGAATTACGCTGCTTAGTGAAATACAATATCGACTATTGAGCAGAAAAGTAAACGAAAATGAATAGAGTAAGAGAGCTGATGATGAATGATTAGAGTAAGAGAGCTGACCAAAGCTTGCTGAATATTGCTGTAATGTCTCAATGTTAACTTACAGTTTGTTAATATCATGAGTTACTAGATATGGAAGCTTCTTCTGGATTGAGTGTGTACTATCATAACATTCCCCAAGAACTTCCAACCAGGAGCTGATGATGAATGATTAGAGTAAGAGAGCTGACCAAAGCTTGCTGAATATTGCTGTAATGTCTCAATGTTAACTTACAGTTTGTTAATATCATGAGTTACTATATGGAAGCTTCTTCTGGATTGAGTGTTTACTATCATAACATCCCCAAGAACTTCCAACCAGGAACTCAAAGGACAAAAAAGTCGAACAATTACAAAAGACCCTTCCTAGAAATGCTTGTCAATAATGAACTCCATATTCTCAATGGGAGAACTTTAGGAGACTCATATGGTGACTTCACTTGTATTCAGACCAGGGCAGTATCTAGATAGAGTAAGACAGCTGATGATGAATGATTAGAGTAAGAGAGCTGACCAAAGCTTGCTGAATATTGCTGTAATGTCTCAATGTTAACTTACAGTTTGTTTATATCATTAGTTACTATATGGAAGCTTCTTCTGGATTGAGTGTGTACTATCATAACATCCCCAAGAACTTCCAACCAGGAACTCAAAGGACAAAAAGTCGAACAATTACAAAAGACCCTTCATAGAAATGCTTGTCAATAATGAACTCTAGATTGGGCAGTATCTAGATAGCCCGACCCCTGTCCGCGGATAACTGTCCACGAATAACTGTCCACAAACACCCGTCTACCAGATCATATTACTGCATAATAACAGTATCCCCTGAATCAAGCAGGGTTCACATCATCGCACGCGAATTACAATCAGCGGTAGTGTCAAGGCTTATTAAACGATTAAGCAACCTTACGAGATCAGTTCACATCATGCAATATATAAAGAAGAACTATTATCAGACTGCATCAAACATTTCTATCATCAACTCCTTCTTGGACAACTACAACTATGGTCTCAGAGAAACCGGGGCAATCTCTAGCAGGCAGAGAACATTCTGCTTTTGCAGGGTATTCTATTTCTTCGACAACAGGGCATTCCTTGACAGCAGGGCATTCTTTTTCAGGGCATGTGACAGCAGGGCATTCTGTTACAGGGCATTCTTTTTCAGGGAAGAAAAGAGCAGGGCATTCAACAACCGGGCATTCGACAACCGGGGGCATTCGACAACATCGCACTCCCCATCAACGACGGATACGTATCCATGCATATTCTGGTGTCGCTGGCGGCTAGTCCCACCACTGCGAGTAGAATTGTCAGATAGATCATCATTAGGTTGTGAAGAAGATAAGTGAGCTCAGCTAGTTCCCAGGGTCAGTTAAAGATTTGCTACTTGTATATCTGCACGTCGTTCAATGATGGGACTACATTCTTTGGTTAACATCTGATTATGTCGTCAAATTGCTCGATCAAACTTGTATCATCTGGTACATCACCCGGTTTATTATCTTATCAAGTAATTGCAACTTAAACTTTCCGTTTTCATTGCATCTACAACTACATGCTAACGACAAATTGCCGTTCTCCGGTGTTACAGCAGCTTGTTTTCAAGACTTTTGTTCCATAAGTTTTTGTACGTACCTTGTGCTGTTCGTATTTGTATTATAATAAATATAAATATAATAAATAATATAGTGTTATATTAAGGTGATCAGCTGATCGAGTCTACAAGTCTTCAAGTGTATGTGTACTCCGTTTAATGAATTTTCATTTACCACATTAAACATTTAATAACTTGCAATGTGAGAACTTGTGCATAACATGCGAGAAGACGATACATGAACGAAGGCAAAGATGAGGAAATAACATAATACGTAATACGTATGTAATAAGCAGTTACATCACTGCTTATAATGTTCTTTAATTAAAATACTTTCAACACTACTATATATAGCAAATAATTTGAGAATATGAGTATGACGTAGAAATGTCGATACGTTATTCAGCTATTTAATTCCATTAGAATCTGTCTTCACTGAGTCTATTCAGAAACAATCAGAAATTTGAATAAAAGAACTATCAAATCATGAGACTCAAAAACACTACACGAATCGGCTGCACGACTTCCAGGCCCCCCTATTATTAGGGGTCAGATCATATGAGTTATGACGTATAATTAGTGATGTGACGTATAATTAGTGATGTCATCCACCAGCTACGATTTACAGAACATGTGAACTCTACCCTACATCTAGCCCAGTTTTACCCCTTACTTTTGATTTAAAATAACAAGTCAATACACATTTTTTCGTAGGAAATAATATACATATTTATTCAAATTTATTGAATACAAGGAATAGGAATACAAGGAATACAAGGAATACAAATTTAAAATCTTTAGTTACAGTAGTAACTGTTAAGATAATAACAATATCATATGATTTAAATTTATTATATTAATATAACTTAAACTAAAGTGAAAAATAAAGATTTTGACAATACATATTTTGTTTACAGTCGCCTTGGTAATGATGTAATGCTTGATCCAGGTCACTCTGTACTCATTGTTGCACGAAAAGAAACAGCGCTGGTACAGTGATGTTTAATGTTCATGTACTGGCCAGAGAGTCGACGAATTTCTTGCGGTTGATAAAACACGTAGACGCCCTGAATACTGAATACTGAATACTGAATACTAAATACTGAATACTGAATACTGAATACTGAATACTGAATACTGAATACTGAATACAGAATACAGAATACTGAATACTGAATACTGAATACAGAATACAGAATACTGAATACTGAATACTGAATACTGAATACTGAATACTGAATACTGAATACTGAATACTGAATACTGAATACTGAATACTGAATCATGTTATAGGAGGGTACCGCTCTAGAGCCCTCATGTTATGGAATCTATAAGGGAGGGCCGCTCTGCAGTCCTACTCCCGACCTTCACCGGCCTGAAGTCAACCGCTCAACAGTCCACCGCTCTACAGTCCTCATTTTAGGATCGTACCGCTCTAAAGTCCTCATGTTGTGAGATCTATAAGGGCGGCCGCTCTAGAGTCCTACCCTGGCGATTTGACACCGCTCTACAGTCCTACTTCCGACCCTCACCGACCTACAGTCCTATGCTCAACAGTCCTCCGCTCAATAGTCCTACAGCCCTCACATCCCTAGATACGAGAACCCCCCTTTAGCAAGAGCTCCCGTCCCTTATGTGATATACGAGTCGAGCGGTCAAATCTTAAAGATCATGATTACTTCTTAATGCACCGTGTGAACTCTACCCTGTATCTAGCCCATTTCTAGGTCAGTTAAATTCTACTGATGGATCACATCACTAATTATACGTCACTAATTAGTGACATGATCTGATCTTCCTGGGCCCCCTAATAATGAGGGGGCCTGGAAGTCGGCCTCCCGTCTTGCCGATTACATTTTTCCGGTAAATTTTGTCATAGTAATTACACTGTTTGATGTGAGCCATGTATTATACTTATAGTGGTATACTTTGATGAACTTCATGACACGATATCGACTCCACATTTTTTCCCTTGCCAAGCTTAACTCGACGCCCCTTATCACTTATTGATATTCATTCAACGCAATTAGCAACTACAGATTATAGCAAAGCGCGTTGCCATGCTTTATAGTGATATTTGATACGTCATGACTAGCCCACATTTACGCTCACGATATCACTATTCATAACTTTGGTTGTGATTGATATTTTTCGTTGCAGTAAAAAGTATCGTTTTATTGAATCTGAATACATACAACTTTGTTGTCATTGTCAAATCCATACTTTCTATAGTACAGAGCATAGAGCTAGATGATTAGAGAAATTTAAACATAAATGATTTTTTAAATTTCCTCCAACAAAGCTTTCGATTAGCGGGTTTCTAGTATTTTATATGCTTGGTGTAGCTCGTTGGGATAGAATAGGAATTAATTGTAGTTCCTATAAGTTGGGAATGAGGTAATTATCTGTTTACAGATCACCCTCTAAACCTACAAGGAAATATTTCCTGTAGATCCTCGGTATATAAGCAACATTTGACAGAACATCTTGTGGAGTGAGCTATGTGCCCATCCTTGGCGAACTCGGCGAATGTCCTTGCTGTATGGCAGTGTTAAACAAGGAACTGAAACCGAGGGGTTCCGTTCAGGCCCTTCACACTTTGTTTCTGTCTGATTCTAATATACCGTTACAATAATGACTTTAATGTATAGGATTTTCGGATGTAATCATATAAATGATGGTTTTTTAAAATATATTATTCATTTTTTATAAGAGAGATTGTTTTTTGTCAATGCTATTATTAAACAGCTTATCGCAACTATCAACTTAAACTCAGTTCAATAACAGTCTGGTTTACACTTGAGGGTTGCCTGTCCTTTCTTCACCTTGCACTTGCACTTGACTGGACAGTCCCTTTCCTCATCGTACGCATGAACCTTCCCCTTTTTAGCATACCCCGAGACCATATCCCAGTTCTTGTAGGCACATTTATTAGGACAACCCATCTTGGTGCAAGCTCCCATACCGCCCTCAGCTCCACAGGTGCATTGGTTACACCCATCAGTATAGGAGTCACCAGGGGAAGCTAGTTTTGTCCTTCCTTTTTTGTCAAGGTATGGACAACATGCAGGTTCTTCACTACATTTAATTTTTCCTGAGGAAAATTAGATCTTGTAAACTGTTTGTACAGTTTCCGTTGACAGCATGCAGCCACGATTTTGAAAAATTTTGAAAAAGGAATATGTTGAAACTAGGAACGAGCAATTATATATTTTGACGCCCCTAAGGAGCTAGAATAAGAAAATTGAATCAGCATGAGCCTAGATCATGATCTACTTACCGCTCCTTTTGCATTGGCACACCTCACATCCACTGTAGATCTTTTTTCCAACGGTGAGGAACCTATCTTCGTATTGACACATTATTCCTCCAGGATCTCTGCCCACCACAAGACTAGCACTCATCAAGACAGCTCCAAGCAGAACGAACAGCAACATTATATGGCTTGAAAAATATGCATAAAGGTGTTATGAGACCATTGCATAATGCCAAAGATATAACAAAATTTATGAGAGTGATAAAACGGTCTTTTCCTTACAATTTGGTTCAGGAAGGTGATAAGTGAAAGTACTTTTGTTTGTATACGTGATTAAGAATTGCGATTACTAAACTACTGTACTAAAACCAAAAAGTGTAACCTGCCATCCAACAGGCCCACTCTGCACTCTTAAGTATCCCCAGATAGTATAAACAATAATAAACTCTAATAATCTCTAAACAATTCCAAAACTATCCTCCTTGTAACCAAAACAGAGGTGTTAAAACGAACTCTCCTCCCCAAAACAGAGGTGTTAAAAGGAACCCTCTGATAATCAAAACAGAGATGTTAAACTGAACTCTATGCACTACCCTGCTGTACATAAATAAAGAGCCCTAGATCGCTCCCCAAATCAGTCCAATAACACATTTTCTGAAAATTTCTAATTTTCAAAAAAGTTGAGTTTTCGAGGTACTTATATACTTGCTAGATTCATATAAAAACACGTGTTCTACTAGCCTGTCACGTGACAAAAATAGCTTTTTGTCCTAAAATACACCGAACAAGATTAATTTTACACCCTTCGGGCCCTTTCACAAGAATTTTGTTTTTATTTGGGCGAGCGATTTAGTGGGATCGCCTTGTTTCACTACTATGTACCAGTTCTGTCGCTACAGCCATAAGGGGTCGTTCACGTATTACGTAATCAGCTGAGGGGGGGGTTCCAAATACTTGCGGTTGATTACGGGGGGGGGGGGGGGGGTCTACAGCAGCTTGTTTTCAAGACTTTTGTTCCATAAGTTTTTGTACGAACCTCGTGCTGTTCGGCTTTGTATTAGTATTATGTTAAGTGGAGCTGATCGAGTCTACAAGTCTTCAAGTGTATGCGTTCTCCGTTTTATGACTTTTCATTTACCACATTTTTAAAAATGGCTCAACAAGTTGACTGTTGCTGACTGGATGAGCACAGCTGAGAGTCATACTATTTTACGAAACTCTCAATTTCATTTTGTCTCGATAGGCATATCTATATAAGAATTCAGTTCGCTTCTCTTTATTTTATCTAGACTTACCACGTTAATCAGTTATTTAGAATATATATTCGCAGCATGAGAATGATGATATAGACAGCATGAGAGTAGGCCTGGCCATCTCGAAGTGATTACCACGTTAATCTTCAACACTAACAGTTAAACGTCATACTGAATTTGTAAATACATGTTCAGTTCTTGCACAATTTCATATTTTAAACTCTACAGAAGTTTAATCGACAAAGTAGCACTTATTTTTTTTTGCATTTCATGTGTTCAATTGCAATTTAATTTAAATTGTCCAGTGAGCTCAGTAATCAGAATCATCATTGTCGTGGGTAGAGCTCATCTTGTTAGTTTTGATTTATTGAAAATGTAATAATATGAATAATGAACAGCTGAGATAGTTTTGGTCTGCTCTTGCACCTGTTTATACCATGTACAAACCGGCTCGTCAGAACAAGGTTTTCGCTTTGGCAAGAACCAGCAGTCAGCAAAAAGCATCATTCTTAATTGATGGTAGAATTGTAACTGAACGCCGTGAGATTGCCAACGGATTTAACATCTACTTCTCGTCTATTGCTCGTAATCTTAATTCAAAAGTTCAATCTTCTGTACCATCTCGTACGGTAACTGATGGCAATTTCAATAAAACGAAGTTTAAACAATACCTCAAGGGCAGAGAAAGAATAGTGAACTCTTTTTTTCTCAGCCCCTGTGACGAGGAAGAGATAAGTAAAATTATTGGTAGCCTTGAAAATGGGAAGGCAAGTGATATCTCTGTTAAAGTCTTGAAAAAGAGTGTAAATTATCTGTCTGGTCATATATCTAGATTCTTTAATTGGTTCTTGGACAATGGGGTCTTTCCAAACAAGCTTAAAACGGGCTCTATTACACCAATTTATAAAAAAGGAGACTCACGATGCCTTGATAACTATCGACCTGTTTCTACATTACCGATATTTGGCAAAATACTTGAAAAAATAATTTATAATAGGTTATATAATTACCTCAGTGCTATGAACGTGATTTATGATCGACAATTTGGTTTTAGAAAACAACACTCAACATCTCATGCCGTAAACTATTCTGTCAATAAAATACTTAATGAGATTGAACAGAAAAATCATGTAATTGGAATATTTATTGATCTAAGTAAAGCATTTGACACAATTGAGCACGATAAACTCCTGCATAAACTTGAACACTATGGAGTAAGAGGTATTGCACTAAAAACTCTTGCTAGCTATCTAACAAACCGTAGCCAAGTAACTTCTTTTCAAACTGAAAAATCGGACAAGTGTTCAGTTGAGTATGGTGTACCCCAGGGGTCAGTGTTAGGACCTCTACTATTTCTGATTTATATAAATGATATTGTGAGCTCCTCAAGTTTGGCTGAATTCGTCCTGTTTGCTGATGATACAAATATTTTTGTGATAGGTCGTTCAGCACAGGAAGCTTTTGAAAAAGCTAATCATGTAATGAAACAGGTCAGTAACTATATGGAGTCTAACAAGTTACATATAAATGCAGGGAAAAGTTGTTTTATGCATTTTCAGCCAGGTTTGTCAAGAGCAACACAGACCTGTGCTAGAACACGGCCCTTTAACAGGAATCTAACGATTTCAAAAGATGGCAAAAAGCTAGAAAAAGTTCAATGTACAAAATTTCTTGGGGTGATAATAGACGAACAGCTATGTTGGGAACCACATCTTAATCATTTATCTTTAAAGCTGAACTCCAGTATTGTATCGATTAAGAGAATTTGCAAATTCATTCCCAAATCTGAATATTTGAAACTATACAATGCTCTTTTTATGTCACATCTTAGCTATTGTATAAGTTGCTGGGGTGGGATCCCTAAACATAAGCTGAATAAAGTCTTTGCTATTCAAAAACGATGTATACGACTGCTATTTGGTAACATTCCCAATTTTGATCATAAAGAATACTACTTAACCTGTGCACGTTCAAGAACTTATAACGAACATATGGCTAAAAAGAACTACTGTCTTGAACACACTAAACCGCTATTCACTGAGCAGAAAATTATGAACCTGGAGAATCTGCACATGTACCATACATTTATGGAGCTATTCAAAATTCTTAAATTTGATGTCCCCCAGTCGATTAAAGATCTTTTCAAGTTCTGTCCTAGAAATGAAAAACTTCGTCTGATTGTCCCATTACTGAGGTTAGATATCTCCCAACAGAACTTTTTGTACACCTCTACGAAAATATGGAATGATCTCATCCCCTATGTATTCGAAATATGTGATGCTAATGTAGATGGGATAATAATCCCGGGGTCTTCCAAAAATTCAGACTTATCAGCCTCGTCAGGTATTATTAAATCTAACCTTAAAAAGCACTTGCTATCCCTCCAAAATCGAGGTGACCCTAATATATGGTAACTAATCTATATTATATCTCAAATTCTACATCTGGTACGGCTCTGCACACATGATATCTCTCTCTGCCATGAAACATGGCTAACCTTTCAAACTATGATTTAAAACATAAACCTAAACTAAAACTCAACTGGGCTCTCCTATGTCACCAAACTAGACCAATAAGCAATTTTAGCTTAGATAATTATATTTTTCTATATTTGTATAATAAGTATTATATTGACGTAGTGGATGGTTGAGGGGGTTTCAAGCACAGGTCACTCTCAAATCCTAAAGATAAGCAGTGGCCTTCGGCACTTGAAACCTCTTCAAACCTCCCCTGATTTATTTATTATTGATATTGTTTGATTGTGCCGTAAAAATAAATATTTGTTTTATTAAATATTTGTTTTATTAGCACGTCACTGACAAGGTTAAATTAATGAGATCCATTGATTTTTTGATATCACGTCACTAACAAGGCCAAATTAATGAGATCAATCAATCTTCACAGTACGTCACTGACAAGGCCAGCTTTAATGAGATTCAATGACTCCTCCATAGCTCATCATTGACAGGGTTAATAAGATCAGATGAGAGAAGGACCAACTATAACTGTCACCAACTACGGGTTGGACCTGCAAGAGTATTTACTAAGTGCATTTATCGACTTCTGTGAAGTCGGTTACAATTGTGATAGAATATTTAGTAATTTTGATCAATACCAAAATAGTGGTACTTGCACTCAAATCTTACGGGCTCACTGGTCACTGGGCATAAGACATATAACAACCCTTCAGTCAATTTCACAATTAGATTTCTAGTTGTATGTTAATAACCTACCAAGACCAATCACCCGTGACCCGTTGATTTCTAGTTTACCATGAACTTTAATAAGCCAGCACTGTCTGGGAAGGAAATTCAATTTGAAATCCAAGGAATTGATAAATGTGGGAGTATAACTATAATTAACAGATTTTTATCAAATCAGTAAAAAAATTGTAAGCTAGTGATAGTCTTATCTCGTTACTTTTTGTATTAATTCCACCAACAACCAGAGTGCTGTACCCGTCCCGTATAATATAAAGTTATAAACCAGACCTGCATTATTATCATATTAGGTTTCTGAACTTCAAGTGAATGCTAAAATTTATGCGAGATAAATCATCAAGTTGGAGAATTCCTTGGTTAACGAGGTTTGCCGTGCCACCCTGCTAGCTTATCTAACATTACAACTTTCCCGGTTCAATGCTAGTTCATGATAAGAGTAATCAGCCTTGCTCCAGAAAGTTCCATTTTATCGCCTCAGAATACCCCGGACTAGTTAACATAGTAATTCTACCTTCATTTCAAACTCGAACCTGATCGCAGCCATGTTTGTCTTGTTCCTTTGTGTTATCTACCTGCCTGTAGTTGCATCAACTGATTATAAGCAGTACACTGCCCTACACTTTGGAACTTCTGCCAGCGATTACATTAGTTTCAACTATGACATGGCCCCGTTCCGAGATTCTCTGTCCATATGCACGTGGATCAAACGTATCTCCACCTCATCTTCATACCCGGTAGTGGGGGTCCAACTACATTTTTATACATTTTTATACATATACATTTGGCAAAAATATGATGGCCATGTATATAAATGTATATAAAATCGGAAATTTCTGGAAACGGATTGAAAAATTTCCAAAACGTGTTTAAAATGCTAACAATGCTAGTACACGTGGCTAGGGTACTAAGTGGCTAGGGTACTAAGAGCTGCAACAACTAAGCAATCTACTAAATCTAATACTCTACTGTTTTAATACTTTCAACACTACTATATAACACATAATTTGAGGTACCCTGTGTCCAATGATCCTATGTCCAATGATCCTATGTCGCCCAACATGGCCTCCCCAAATCCTTATTATAATCAGAAAGTATTAAACTCAAATATTAAACCTCAAGCCTCCTCTTCGAGATATGACTTTCGCCACATCAGAACAGAGAAACCTTTGTCAATTAAATCTCAAGTCCTAGTAGTAGACTTAGTAAAAGTATCAGAAACATATCATTCAGTAAAAGTAGAAGCTCCTAATATTCATAGCCCTGTTGAGGCACCAATCAGAAAAGGAATTGACAACGATGATTTTTCCCCTCCTATTTTATATCCATGTGGTAAATGGTATCATACCAAGTGCTGTATGCACAGAAAGACGTTTTAAAAACATGGGCAACACATAGAAATAATGTGAGTATGTAAGAATTGCAAGGCCTTTGAGAAGAAACCGGTTAAATCTGTTAAAGTTATCAAATGGGGTAAGCACGCTTCTTTAAGTGAGATCTCAACTGCTGCTGATTTTGCCTATAGTGAAATTTTGAAATGGACCAAGAACATGTTCCTAGTGCCGCGGGGTACGGGTAAAGTAGGTAATGCCTTCATTATATTCATGAATTAAGCAGGTTAATCAACCTGTTTAATGACAGGACAGAATAGGAGAGTGTGGCATTAAAACTATTATTTATCTTCATTCCAATGATGCTACAAAAACCATAAAAAACTCACGGGCAAAGGATCACACTATATATTATCTTGAAAAAAGGCTGAATTTGTGGAAATCTGGTGATTTAAATTTTTGAATGCTATAATCAGTGAAGGGCTTGAGATTCAGAACCGACTTGAGGAGGCACGTAAAGCTCGGGAGAGATCCCTTGCCACCAGGTTTGCACAGCTTATGATCCACGGCAAAGTATCAGCAGCAACCAGGCCGCAGCAACCAGGCTCATCAACCGACAAAGTGGAGGACTGTTGGATGTTGATGAAATGGTCTTTGAACAGCTAAAGGAAAAGCACCCCTCTGCTAAGGCTGCAACAGCTGAAATTCTGATCACAGGTGATAAAGCAGCAGTTGAAGAAGTTATATTTGAAGCCATTGACTCAAAGTTAGTGAAAAAGGCTGCTAAGCTGACATCAGGTGGCCCAACGCTAGTAGACTCAGAGTGCTGGCAACACATCTTATGCTGTTGTGCTTTTAGAAATTCCCAGGATCTTCTCGCTGAAGCAATTGCCAGATTAGCCAGGCGCATATGTACTCAAGATGTTAATTTCCAATCAATAGCAGTGCTTACAGCTGGTAGACTGGTTCCCCTAGATAAATGTCCAGGCCTTAGGCCAATTGGTATTGGTGAGATCTTGAGACGGATTATTGGGAAGTGTGTGATGATGGTGTTAAAGAAAGATGTTCAGAAGGATGCAGGACCACTTCAAACATGTGTAGGTCACGAAAGGGGAATTGAAGCAGCAATACACGCTATGGCAGAGGTTCATGATAAAAAGGACACGGAAGCCATTTTGCTAGTGGATGCTTCCAACGCATTCAACGCTCTCAACAGGACCGCTGCTACCAACAACGTGCACTACGCTTGCCCACCACTTGCTAAATACTTTGAGAACACCTACAGGGAACCAACAGACCTCTATGTAGCTAATAGCAAAGGAGTGATCATCAATAGCAGTGGAGGTTTCACTCAAGGAGACAATATTGCCACTGGTGGATGTGCTCTTAGCACCAAGCCATCTATTGACCGCCTGCGAAACATAATCAAGCAAGTGTGGTTTGCAGACGATAGTGCTGCTGGAGGGAAATTGGAAGCAATGTATAAGTGGTGGAAGGAGCTGCTTCAAGTAGGACCCAAGAACGGTTATTTTCCTAATCTATCTAAGAGCATCATCAAGGACCCTCAGATGATTGACCAGGCCAAGGCATTGTTTGGATATTCAATATGCAAATAACATCAGGTACCAGGCATCTTGGAGCAGTACTTGGCAATACAGGTGTCAAATATCAGTACATTACTGATAAGGTCCAAGGGTGGTGTGACGACATCAAGATGCTAGCTGATATTGCAGAATCTGAGCCTCAAGCAGCCTACTCAGCCTACATCTCTGGCATCCAACACAGATGGAAGTTTGTTCAAAGGACTGTGTCCCACATCTCTGAAGCCACGGAGCCGCTAGAACATGAGATAAGACAAAAGCTCCTGCCAAAGATGCTGGGCAGGGAGATCTCAGACTTAGAAAGAGACGTGTTAAATCTACCAATAAGATTGGGAGGATTGGGCATTGGTGAACCCCACGAGCTGAGGAATGCCGTGCTCTGAGTACACAGCCTCCAAGCCACTCACCACCGAGCTAAAAAAGCAATTGTGGACCAACAGGAAGTTAACACTGCATCCAGAACCTCACAAAATCGGGGAAAGAATTGATGAAAACATTGAAGAATTTCGAGCTCCAAACCAAGTTTAATGCTATAGCTGAAAGATGTGGCACCTCCTCTAAGAGAGCACTACTAGCAGCAAGAGAAAAGGGAGCGTCCATTGCCACTTCAGCAGTATGGCTACACACTGAACAAGGAGAAGTTTCGTGACAGTGTCTGCTTACACTAGCTACAGCTGATGGATATCAAATGCTCCCATCGTGATAATGACCCACAACAACATCAGAGACACAATGGTAAATCTTCTTCATTAGGTATGTCATGATGTGAATCTGCTTACGCTACAGCTGGTGGATAGTGGATACAAACACTCCCATCACCTGTGGATGTGGGAAAATAAGTGATCTTGACCACCTTCTCACCTGTAAGCTAGGGGGCTACGTGATAATGACTCACAACAACATCAGAGACACATTGGCAAATCTCCTTCGTGAGTTATGTCATGATGTAAAAGATGAACCCCAGCTACAGAAGGTAAATGAGGGTGACTGCCTCAACCCCAAGACTATAACAGGTGACCAAGCTCGGCTTGACGTATCTGCTAGAGGAGTTTGGACTTTGGACTCCATTTGATAAGACCTTTCTTCACATAAGGGTTGCACACCCCAATTGCTTATCAAACAGGACAAAAACTCTTCAAGAAGTATACAAAGAGAACGAGAAGGAGAAGAAGGACGAGCTACTTGGAGAGAATGTTGAATGTGGAGAAGGCTACTTTCACCCAAGCTGTATTCTTCACATCTGGAGGAATGTCTAAAGAGTGTGAGCAGTTCGTCAACAGAGTAGCAGACCTCATAGCAAGAAAAAGGAAGGAGAGGTACTGCGATGTAGTAAGACATGTCAGAACAAGGATAAGATTTGCAATGTTGAGAACAACTCTTATTGCTCTACGAGGGTACCGAGGAAAGAAGGTGGACACCAAACGTGAGATTCAGCTATCAGAAGTCTCATACAATCTCATCCCTGCCCCTATAATGGAGTAGATCATGTGTTTTGTTAAAATGTTTTAAAAAAATATTATTGGTACTAGCAATGAATTGTGCTCTGCCATTTGCAACACTAAAAATTTGATTGTGCTCTGCCAATTGCATCACTTGGTTTAATTGAATGTATTATATATACTTTTTGACTCACTTTTCATTTTATGTAACGTAAATTATTCAAACAATATACAAAAATACTCTACTAACTAGGTAAGATAACTTCTGGCATTCTGGTTTACTTGAAAACACCAGTCAAGAACAGCAGAAAAGGCGTTAAAGTAATAAAATACATTCCCATGTGATGTACTTGTCATTGTAAATTAGCCACAGCTAGTAAATCTATCCAGGGAACTTCCGAACAGGAAAAAAACATATTTTGTAATTTTTATACATTTTTATACATTTTTATACATATACATTTGGCAAAAATCTGGTGGCCATGTATAAAAATGTAGTTGGACCCCCCCCCCCCCCCCCCCCCCCCCCCCCCGGTAGTGTTTAACTACTTGGCTAGCGATTACGAGATTTTGATTGCGCCTGATGGGTACTATAACAGAGTAGTAGCTGATCAAGGTTTGGATGGAAGACGCAACCTTTTCACAGTACCAGTGGGCAAGTGGTTTAGTTATTGCATAACGTGGTCTGTAGCGTCCACGACAATAAAGTTATACCTGGATGGTGATTTGGTAGCAACAGACCAAACAGCATCAGGGAGGAGGCTGACGATGGGAGGGCAGTTATGGTTTGGTGTTCTTGATGGTGGAAGTTGTAATTATGTGTTTGGAGGAGACCTCTATCAGTTCAATGTATATTCCAATGTATTGGAGTCGGCTGAAATAAAGAAAATAGCAGAAGGGGGACTATGTTTTGATTTAGAGGAATTTTCCTTCGATGGGAAGGTATTCTGGACAGATCACGGAGTGGGTCTGTGAGTGAGGTTGAGGGATGTACAAGAAAGGAATTAATAACTCGGTTGAAGGAGTCACAAGAGAAGCTGGCAAGTGTGACTGGAAGGCTGAACGGAACAGAGGCTCAACTTAGTAGGTCGGAGGAGAAAGTGAAGACACTAGCCAATCTTCTTAATTCAACTCAAGAAGAGTTGGAGTCAAGTCAACTGAATTTCACTGAAGCTAAGAAGCAGCTTAATGTAACGAAGGAAAAGCTGGACACTACCGAGGAGGAGCTGAAAGGGGTAACATCTGATCTGGAGGAGGTGACTGCTGAGCTGGAGGGGGTGACTGCTTGTCTGGAGGAGGTGACTGCTGATCTAGAGGAGGTGACTGCTGATATGAACAGGACTGAAACTTCATTGGAAACAGTGACCGGAGATTTAAACTCAACACAAGCAGAACTAGGAGCTGTAAGTGATCACCTGGAAACTTGCTCCGCTGGCTTAAAAGACATAGGGAGAAAGTTTAAAGATTCTCGAACATTCCACAATGTCACCAGATGGGATGTTCTGCTCACTCCCCCATATTTCAACAAGGTCTTCTCAAATGAGCTGTTCCGGAAACTCACCACCAGTTGGAATATGTTGGGTAAGTGATATTGGGTGTGCAATACTTCTAGTTCTGCTTTCTCTGTTGTTGTTGTTACTTCATACTTTGTTTACTTGTCCAGGTTTTACAGAATTTCTGTAAGATTTACTGTAAGGTTTATGCAAAGTGAACTTTAAATTTCGAAATTCTCGGTGTTAATAAGATTTAAAATTTCAGAGAGGTTTGTGGGTATGAACATGACGGAGGGTGTTATACAGCACTTCCGGTACTTCCACCGAGAACCACAATGCGATGTCTTCGAGCAACTCTCACACGCCATGCTTGGTAAGATGCGAATTTTTTTTTATAGATAAGAATTTGTAGCAACATACTACGTTACAAGACACAATTGGGTTCTTTTGCGATAGTCAAAACGCGACAACTAGCGCTGAATGGCGACAACTAGCGCTATCCAGCGCTAGTTGTCGCCATCCAGCGCTAGTTGTCGCTATCCAGCGCTGGATAACGCTGGCCAGCGCAAAATATATATGTTCGATAATTGTCGCTATCCAGCGCTAGTTGTCGCCATCCAGCGCTAGTTGTCGCCATCCAGCGCTAGTTGTCGCTATCCAGCGCTAGTTGTCGCTGGCTATGCGACACTGTCGCACGCGATAGTTTGCGATGGCCAGCGCAACTGGCCATCGCAGAAAACAGTTCGATAACTAGCGCTGGATGGCGACAACTAGCGCTGGATAGCGACAACTAGCGCTGGCCAGCGCTAAGCGATAGCCAGCGCTGGCCAGCGCTGGCCATCGATATCCAGCGCAAAATTTTTTCGCTATTACTCGTCAGCTAGCGCTAACCAGCGCTGGCCAGCGCTAGCCAGCGCTAGCCAGCGCTAACCAGCGCTAGCCAGCGCTTACCAGCGCTTACCAGCGCTAGCCAGCGCTAACCAGCGCTAGCTGACGAGTAACATTGCAACTATATTGCGCTGGCCAGCGCTGGCTGACGAGTAATACTAATATCGAGCGTGCTAAATCACTCTACACACTACAGTCTTCGAGATTGTTCTAAAAGGGCCCCCGATGGTTGTGTCCAACTTCAATCGATGTATTTGCGGACGCTTATTCCGAATCAACCCCCATGGGCCCATGACATAGGGTTAAAATGCTCTCCTGACGAGATATTCAATATTGGCGAAAACTGTACATGTATCGATCACGTGATATGACCGTATAAGGAAGTTAGTCTAATTTCTCGTTATTGTTAGGGTTTCAGCATATGTTTTTGTTAAGGATTGGGTTAGGGTTAGGGTTGGGATCAGATTAGACTTAGAGGGTTGGGGTTTCGAAAAGTCGTTCAGAACCAGCTAGAGTCAGAGAATGGATTAAAAAAGGCACGTGACAGTCAAGTGTAAAGTGATTAATCATCATTCGAGTAATATCGCAAGTATATGATTTTGATACATTGCGCTGGCTAGCGCTGGTTACCGCTGGCTAGCGCTGGCTAGCGCTGGATAGCGACAACTAGCGCTGGCTAGCGCTGGATAGCGACAACTAGCGCTGGCTAGCGCTGGCCAGCGCTAGCTGACGAGTAATAGCGCAAAAATTTTGCGCTGGATATCGATGGCCAGCGCTGGCCAGCGCTGGCTATCGCTTAGCGCTGGCCAGCGCTAGCCAGCGCTAGTTGTCGCTATCCAGCGCTAGTTGTCGATATTCAGCGCTAGTAATCGAACTGTTTTCTGCGATGGCCAGTTGCGCTGGCCATCGCAAACTATCGCGTGCGACAGTGTCGCATAGCCAGCGACAACTAGCGCTGGATAGCGACAACTAGCGCTGGATGGCGACAACTAGCGCTGGATGGCGACAACTAGCGCTGGATAGCGACAATTATCGAACATATATATTTTGCGCTGGCCAGCGTTATCCAGCGCTGGATAGCGACAACTAGCGCTGGATGGCGACAACTAGCGCTGGATAGCGCTAGTTGTCGCCATCCAGCGCTAGTTGTCGCGTTTTGACTATCGCAAAAGAACCCACAATTGAGTATGCCATTTTGAAATATTATTATTATGTCAGGGTAATTATAGTAATATATAATAATCATCAAAAGTCTATGAATAGTTAGTACCTAACTCGGGAATATTATAGCGGGTTAATTTATGACTGGGAAAATAAATGACCGGGAAAAATATGGCGGAATTTTCCAAAACCCACCACTTTATCCCAGTCATAATATTCCCGAGTAAGGTATATGACAAAATTATTATTCTAGTAATTCAAGCTATTATATTTTATTATATTAGATAAGTAATTTTAGTTATTATATTAGTAATTAAATGATGTTCATTAAGTTTTATTTAATTATTAGCTACTACCATGACTCTCAAAGGTAAATATTGCCAAATACGCAAGAGTAAACCACCTTGTGCACCATGTTAAATCAATACAACATTTCACTTTCAGAGCACTTCAAGGGTACTGAGATAACATCAGGACTGATAGCCCACTTTAAGGAAACACATACGGAGGAATCAGAGTGCGAGAACGACACAGACACAGAATCATAGACCGGGAACAATTAAACTTCTTTTTTGCTGTGTTCTTCTCTCCAATTTTTAGTATGTGTTATAATTTTATTAACTTATTAAAGTTAAATTATATGAAAGGAAATGACACTAATATAGTTAAATACTAAAATTCCTTACTTTTCTCACGTTATATGGTTAGCTTAGAGTAGTGAAATAAAAGGTAATAATAATATTAAATATTTTAACCTTAAATTAAAAAGTTATCAATGCATTGATCGTAAACAAATGAGTTTCAATTTTGACACCAAACATTTTCATATCATTATCCACGTATAATTCCTGGGCACTATCCGTCGCGGAGTAGAGTCCGCGGCGGAGCCGCCGGACTCCGAGCGAACTCCAGCGGAGCCGCCGGACTCCGAGCGGAGTCCGGCGGTGCTCCGCCAAAATGTATTTACACTGGACTCGAATACATTTTAGCGGACTCCGAGCGGAGTCGAGCGGACTCCGAGCGGACTTTAAAGTCCGCCGCGGACTCCGAGCGGCTCCGCGGCGGCTCGGCGGAGTGTCCGCCGCGGACTAAGCCACTAGGCGGACTCCGGTCCAACGCGGACTCCGGCGGAATCGACCACCGATTGAAAATTCAAAGATTTTTTCACATAAAGGTCAAATGTAAAACTAAAATCTTGATGTTGATTGATTGACGACGTCAATTTTTGAGCACAGCGCGAGCGCATGCGGAAAAGGACCGCGTAGCTAGTCAAGATGTTGATAAATATTTGGCTTGTGGCGCGATGTGTTGCTCAGTGCTCTAACTATAGCCCTCTCGCTTGCAGTAGCGCGCGACCGCCGGAAATGACTTGTGCCCAGAAAACCTTACCGCCTGCTGGGCTTGCTAGAAGTAGAGGTGATAGATTTTCAACAGCACGTTTGGCGTCGCGCGTCACATCGAGTTTAGCTTTCGCACGCTGCATTTAGTTTAGTAGTCATGACAGCGACATGACTTTGCAAAGTTTAAAAGCTGTCATCTTTTTAGGTAGTGCGCCATCGACAGTGAGCCGCGCGTGCCGACTGTAGGATGGTTTCTTAGCGCTAATTTCGGCCAGCACAATTTTCTTCAAACAAATAGATATTAGGTATCCTTCCCGACATCCGATTGCAACAAAAATTGGTAAGCTTACTCATAGACTTACAAGGAAGGTGTTCGAAAAGTTAAAAGCATATCCAACCATCAGACATTATGTTACAGCTAAAAGCAGCGTATTTTGCCCCATTTTGATCACTATATCAACTCCGATATCCACCAAATTTTTCGGACAGTTGTGAAAGCCCTATTGGAAGGTCGTCGCCAATTTTCAGAATGATCTCATTCAAGGAACTGAAGATATATCCATATAATACGACAAAAATCAACGAATTTGGTCAAATTTGGTCAAATTACGCGACTTTTACAGCTAATTTTGCTCCAAAAGCCGCGCACCATCAAATATGGCACCTAGGCGAAACTCACTGATCTTTCCAAAAAGGTATGACAAATTTGGTATTGTGAAAATTCTCACAGTCTCTAGAAAACAATGGTACAAAAATTTTAAAAATCCGAGCAAGTTTATTTTTATGGTGCACCCCCTAATCTTTTATTTAGCCAAAAATCAAACTTTTCGGTTTAATTCAGAATCTAAGTTGTTCCAAATTGTGCTCCTGGGGAGCCTCCTTTAAATTTACGAGACGGAAATTTTGTTAAAACCGGAAGGTTCTATTTATTTTACTTTTGGAGATATTCCCCGGCCGGTAGGGTTTGCTGGGTTTGCTCCTCCTGTGACCGTCGACGAGTCCAATTCGGCGTGCGTCTTTGTAAGTTATAAACCTACAACATATTTGTATCACGTGGTGACCCCCACGGTCGTTTCACTATAGTAGCGTCACTATAGTAGCATCACTATAGTAGCGTCTTCGACGCTACAGGGGGAGCCGCGCACTTCGTGCGCGGCGGGTCATACAACGTATGACAACAACATATCATGTCATCCGACAGGCTGAGCGCCGCCCAGTAAGCTTTATTTTCACGTAGGATATTATTACCTATATAATTTTAAAAAACATGAACAATATAATTATTAATAAAACTACTGCAATATACAATGTACAAGTGTATCATTTTTCAATTGGGAGTGTTTCTGGACTCGTTTCGGTTTGGTTTACAATTACATTTTTCTTTCCCATTTCCGTACATTTTATTTGTAATCGCCTGATCGTCTGTGTTAATCAGTTTTATTTTTACTAGCACAATGAACAAACGACCACGTACTTCCAGAGATTTACCCCAGCCAGTAGGGTTTCCTGTGTATTTTCTGAGTCGCAGAATCGCTTTGTATTGGCTGACGCCGAGATATGGGCGAAGCAGAGCAACGATCGACGATGCGAAGCAAGAATGCTAGTTCGCGCGGCGCGTCGAAGCGGCGAAGTCCTCCAAGTTGATGATTAAATACCGTTCTCTTCTTCTTTGCAATGACATCAGATCAACTATATGCGTGATGCAGCAGATGCTAAAAACACAGCTGCACATGCCATCGCTATCTCCTTAACGGGTGATACTCGTAAAATATTTGTTTTAAATATTACTATTAGGACCGTCGACGAGTCCAACTCGTCCTGGTAAGTTATAAACCTACAACTATCTCGGCGTCAGCCAATACAAAGCGATTCTGCGACTCAGAAAATACACAGGAAACCCTACTGGCTGGGGTAAATCTCTGAAAGTACGTGGTCGTTTGTTCATTGTGCTAGTAAAAATAAAACTGATTAACACAGACGATCAGGAGATTACAAATAAAATGTACGGAAATGGGAAAGAAAAATGTAATTGTAAACCAAACCGAAACGAGTCCAGAAACACTCTCAGTCCCAATTGAAAAATGATACACTTGTACATTGTATATTGCAGTAGTTTTATTAATAATTATGTTGTTCATGTTTTTTTAAATTATATAGGTAATAATATCCAACGTGAAAATAAAGCTTACTGGGCGGCGCTCAGCCTGTCGGATGACATGATATGTTGTAGGTTTATAACCTACAAAGACGCACGCCAAATTGGACTCGTCGACGGTCACAGGAGGAGCAAACCCAGCAAACCCTACCGGCCGGGGAATATCTCCAAAAGTAAAATAAATAGAACTTTCCGGTTTTCAACAAAATTTCCGTCTCGTAAATTTAAAGGAGGCTCCCCAGGAGCACAATTTGGAACAACTTAGATTCTGAATTAAACCGAAAAGTTTGATTTTTGGCTAAATAAAAGATGACATCTTTTAAACTTTGCAAAGTCATGTCGTTGTCATGACTACTAAACTAAACGCAGCGTGCGAAAGCTAAACTCGATGTGACGCGCGACGCCAAACGTGCTGTTGAAAATCTATCACCTCTACTTCTAGCAAGCCCAGCAGGCGGTAAGGTTTTCTGGGCACAAGTCATTTCCGGCGGTCGCGCGCTACTGCAAGCGAGAGGGCTATAGTTAGAGCACTGAGCAACACATCGCGCCACAAGCCAAATATTTATCAACATCTTGACTAGCTACGCGGTCCTTTTCCGCATGCGCTCGCGCTGTGCTCAAAAATTGACGTCGTCAATCAATCAACATCAAGATTTTAGTTTTACATTTGACCTTTATGTCAAAAAATCTTTGAATTTTCAATCGGTGGTCGATGTTACCTGAGGACCTCAGGCTTCGTCCTTACTTCGTCACAGGACGATCGGAGCTCGAAGAGCGTATAGTAGAGGCTCTTACGGGCAAAAAGACGTGTTTTCTGCTACGAGTTTAGAAACCTAACCGTTAATTGGACACAATAGTATGATGTCTAAGGATCGATAATATGTTAAGAAGTATAAATTTGGCCTTATTAGTCACGTGCTATACCAATGCGCGTTTTAAACTTTGACAGTCTATTACTCTAAGGCAAATAGAATAATTATATTCATATTTTGTCAGCAATAAGATCACATTATTTTCTATTTAGTGTGAAAATAAGAGCTAGAACGGACATAATCTCGCTGAGTTATAGCTGTTTGAAATTTATGATGAACGCGCGGGTGCCAATTGATAACAACTAAATGCTTTTGCGCGTAGTGCGCGTCGAAAATTTGGCAAAAACGCTTGCGGAGTGACAATATTCAAACTTCGATAAAGTATATGAAGTGGGTACTTCTCGGAAAGGAAAAATTTAGGCAAACACGATGTGACTATTTTTGGGTTGATTTAATACAACTGCAAAAAATTATTCAAACTTCAAGCAAAAAAGTCAAAATTTTTACCACTTTTTTGGATTTTACCCGCGTAAAAACAGAGGGATTTTTAAAATTTTTAAACCATCTTGTGCGGCTGTGTTTTAGCTATTTCCATGCAAGTTTTGCCGACATGCCAACAAAATTAACTTGTTCAAAATATCAAAAAACATGGTTTTTTGGCCTATTTTTTGCCCAAAAATCGGTTTTTTTGCAATTTTACCCGCGTAAACTCAGTCCAATCATCTCGAAACCACTTTTAATCGATTCTACGGTCAAAAATACGTCTACAAAGGTGTATCTGGGGTCCCTAGCGTATCGAGCAGCCAATGCCCGTAAGAGCCTCTACTAGTAGTCGAGAGTGCTGGCTGGCGTCGTCCTGTGATGGTCGACGTATTTTTGCTTGCTGGGATCCGGCCAAATGACGCCACATGCAACGTGTAGGGTAAAACTAAAAACGCTTCCCTATATGAGATAATATGACACAAATTGTTTTGGTCACGTGATCAGTCAATGACATTGATATTTCGCTGCTGACGGTTTGGTGGAGGGTTAGGGTCAACGTTTATATACATTATAGGGTCAAAGTTAGGACTAGAGTTGTACTGCACTATTGACATTGTGAGGGTAATGGTTAAGGTTTATCACTAGCGACCTTTTCATCTGACCACAATATTGCAAAATGCTATGTTGTATGTCACGTGACAAATTTAGCCGAGGGTCGGAAGTCGGAGGTCGGAAGTCACTGGACTCTGTTGGAGTTCGGCGGACTCCGAGCGGAGTCCGCCGAGCTGGTGGACTCCGCCAAGCTCCGCCAGACTCCGCCGGATTCAAGTCCGCCGGAGAGGTCCGCCGGAGTCCGCCAAGCACTCCGCCGGAGTCCGCGGCGGACCGGAGTCCGCCTAGTGGCTTAGTCCGCGGCGGACACTCCGCCGAGCCGCCGCGGAGCCGCTCGGAGTCCGCGGCGGACTTTAAAGTCCGCTCGGAGTCCGCTAAAATGTATTCGAGTCCAGTGTAAATACATTTTGGCGGAGCACCGCCGGACTCCGCTCGGAGTCCGGCGGCTCCGCCGGAGTCCGCTCGGAGTCCGGCGGCTCCGCTTGAGTCCGCTCGGAGTCCGGCGGCTCCGCCGCGGACTCTACTCCGCGACGGATAGTGCCCAGGAATACGTGAATAATGACATGAAAATGTTTGGTGTCAAAATTTAAACTCATTTGTTTACGATCAATGCATTGATAACTTTTTAATTTAAGGTTAAAATATTTAATATTATTATTACCTTTTATGTCACTACTCTAAGCTAACCATATAACGTGAGAAAAGTAAGGAATTTTAGTATTTAACTATATTAGTGTCATTTCCTTTCATATAATTTAACTTTAATAAGTTAATAAAATTATAACACATACTAAAAATTGGAGAGAAGAACACAGCAAAAAAGAAGTTTAATTGTTCCCGGTCTATGATTCTGTGTCTGTGTCGTTCTCGCACTCTGATTCCTCCGTATGTGTTTCCTTAAAGTGGGCTATCAGTCCTGATGTTATCTCAGTACCCTTGAAGTGCTCTGAAAGTGAAATGTTGTATTGATTTAACATGGTGCACAAGGTGGTTTACTCTTGCGTATTTGGCAATATTTACCTTTGAGAGTCATGGTAGTAGCTAATAATTAAATAAAACTTAATGAACATCATTTAATTACTAATATAATAACTAAAATTACTTATCTAATATAATAAAATATAATAGCTTGAATTACTAGAATAATAATTTTGTCATATACCTTACTAAAAATTGGAGAGAAGAACACAGCAAAAAAGAAGTTTAATTGTTCCCGGTCTATGATTCTGTGTCTGTGTCGTTCTCGCACTCTGATTCCTCCGTATGTGTTTCCTTAAAGTGGGCTATCAGTCCTGATGTTATCTCAGTACCCTTGAAGTGCTCTGAAAGTGAAATGTTGTATTGATTTAACATGGTGCACAAGGTGGTTTACTCTTGCGTATTTGGCAATATTTACCTTTGAGAGTCATGGTAGTAGCTAATAATTAAATAAAACTTAATGAACATCATTTAATTACTAATATAATAACTAAAATTACTTATCTAATATAATAAAATATAATAGCTTGAATTACTAGAATAATAATTTTGTCATATACCTTACTCGGGAATATTATGACTGGGATAAAGTGGTGGGTTTTGGAAAATTCCGCCATATTTTTCCCGGTCATTTATTTGCCCAGTCATAAATTAACCCGCTATAATATTCCCGAGTTAGGTACTAACTATTCATAGACTTTTGATGATTATTATATATTACTATAATTACCCTGACATAATAATAATATTTCAAAATGGCATACTCAATTGTGTCTTGTAACGTAGTATGTTGCTACAAATTCTAATCTAATTCGCATCTTACCAAGCATGGCGTGTGAGAGGTGCTCGAAGACATCGCATTGTGGTTCTCGGTGGAAGTACCGGAAGTGCTGTATAACACCCTCCGTCATGTTCATACCCACAAACCTCTCTGAAATTTTAAATCTTATTAACACCGAGAATTTCGAAATTTAAAGTTCACTTTGCATAAACCTTACAGTAAATCTTACAGAAATTCTGTAAAACCTGGACAAGTAAACAAAGTATGAAGTAACAACAACAACAGAGAAAGCAGAACTAGAAGTATTGCACACCCAATATCACTTACCCAACATATTCCAACTGGTGGTGAGTTTCCGGAACAGCTCATTTGAGAAGACCTTGTTGAAATATGGGGGAGTGAGCAGAACATCCCATCTGGTGACATTGTGGAATGTTCGAGAATCTTTAAACTTTCTCCCTATGTCTTTTAAGCCAGCGGAGCAAGTTTCCAGGTCATCACTTACAGCTCCTAGTTCTGCTTGTGTTGAGTTTAAATCTCCGGTCACTGTTTCCAATGAAGTTTCAGTCCTGTTCATATCAGCAGTTACCTCCTCCAGCTCAGCAGTCACCTCCTCTAGATCAGCAGTCACCTCCTCCAGATCAGATGTTACCCCTTTCAGCTCCTCCTCCGTAGTGACCAGCTTTTCATTCGTTACATTAAGCTGCTTCTTAGCTTCAGTGAAACTCAGTTGACTTGACTCCAACTCTTCTTGAGTTGAATTAAGAAGATTGTCTAGTGTCTCCACTTTCTCCTCCAACCTACTAAGTTGAGCCTCTGTTCCGTTCAGCCTTCCAGTCACATTTGCCAGCTTCTCTTGTGACTCCCTCAACCGAGTTATTAATTCATTTCTTGTACACACCTCTACCTCACTCACGGACCCACTCCGTGATCTGTCCAGAATATCTTCCCATCGAAGGATCCTAGTGTCGGAAAATTCCTCTAAATCAAAACATAGTCCCCCGTCTGCTATTTTCTTTATTTCAGCCGACTCCAATACATTGGAATATACGTTGAACTGATAAAGGTCTCCTCCAAACACATGACCAGAATTCCTACTATAAAGACCACCAAACCATAACTGCCCTCCCATCGTCAGCCTCCTCCCCGATGCTGTCTGGTCTGTTGCTACCAAATCACCATCCAGGTATAACTTAATTGTCGTGGAGGCTACAGACCACGTTATGCAATAACTAAACCACGTGCCCACTGGTACTGTGACAAGGTTGCGTCTGTTCTCCAAACCTGTATCACCTACTACTCTGTTATGGTACCCATCAGGCCCAATCAAAATCTCGTGACCGCTAGCCAAGTAGTTAAACACTACCGGGTATGAAGATGAGGTGGAGATACGTTTGATCCACGTGCATATGGACAGAGAATCTCGGAACGGGGCCATGTCATAGTTGAAACTAATGTAATCGCTGTTAGAAGTTCCAAAGTGCAGGGCAGTGTACTGCTTATCAGTTGATGCAACTACAGGCAGGTAGATAATACAAAGGAACAAGAGAAACATAACTGCGAGGTTCGAGTTTGAAATGAATGTAGAATCATTATGTTAACTAGTCCGGGGTATTCGGAGGCGATAAAACGGAACTTTCTAGAGCAAGACTGATTACTCTTAGCATGAACTAGCATTGAACCGGGAAAGTTATAATGTTAGATAAGCTAGCAGGGTGGCACGGCAAACCTCGTTAACCAAGAAATTCTCTGACTTGATGATTTATCTCGCATAAATTTTAGCATTCACTTGAAGTTCAGAAACCTAATATGATAATAATGCAGGTCTGGTTTATAACTTTATATTATACGGGACGGGTACAGCACGCTGGTTGTTGGTGGAATTAATACAAAAAGTTACGAGATAAGACTATCACTAGCTTACAATTTGTTTACTGATTTGATAAAAATCTGTTAATTATAGTTATACTCCCACATTTATCAATTCCTTGCATTTCAAATTGAATTTCCTTCCCAGACAGTGCTGGCTAATTAAAGTTCATGGTAAACTAAAAATCAACGGGTCACGGGTGATTGGTCTTGGTAGGTTATTAACATACAACTAGAAATCTAATTGTGAAATTGACTGAAGGGTTGTTATATTGTTATATGTCTTATGCCCAGTGACCAGTGAGCCCGTAAGATTTGAGTGCAAGTACCACTATTTTGGTATTGATCAAAATTACTAAATATTCTATCACAATTGTAACAGCAGTTTCACAGAAGTCGATAAATGCACTCAGTAAATACCCTTGCAGGTCCAACCCGTAGTTGGTGACAGATTATAGTTGGTCCTTCTCTCATCTGATCTTATTAACCCTGTCAATGATGAGCTATGGAGGAGTCATTGAATCTCATTAAAGCTGGCCTTGTCAGTGACGTACTGTGAAGATTAATTGATCTCATTGATTTGGCCTTGTCAGTGACGTGATATCAAAAATCAATGGATCTCATTAATTTAACCTTGTCAGTGACGTGCTGACTGCTGGTTCTTGCCAAAGCGAAAACCTTGTTCTGACGAGCCGGTTTGTACATGGTATAAAAAGGTGCAAGAGCAGACCAAAATTATCTCAGCTGTTCATTATTCATATTATTACACTTTCAATAAATCAAAACTAACAAGATGAGCTCTACCCACGACAATGATGATTCTGATTACTGAGCTCACTGGACAATTTAAATTAAATCGCAATTGAACACATGAAATGCAAAAAAATAAGTGCTACTTTGTCGATTAAACTTCTGTAGAGTTTAAAATATGAAATTGTGCAAGAACTGAACATGTATTTACAAATTCAGTATGACGTTTAACTGTTGAAGATTAACGTGGTAAGTCTAGATAAAATAAAGAGAAGCGAACGGAATTCTTATATAGATATATATAATATGCCTATCGAGACAAAATGAAATTGAGAGTTCCGTAAAATAGTATGAGTAAGTATTCAAAAAAGTCATAACTTACTACAAACTGGACTCATTATAGTTTAATCTTCTAAAAGCTTTAAAAATCTCATTCAAGATGAATGTTATCATTTTTTTCTCCGATATAGTCATTAGTCAATGATAAACTGAATGTTCAAATTGAGTCTCAGCTTAGTCGATTGACGTTTTCTATTGTCAATCGGAGATGAGGCTAAATACATTCAGATCACATTAAATCTAGATTAAATCAGGTACACTCGTACTGAGAAAATGTCTTCTATAAAAGTAAGCCTAATAATAATATCTATCTTGTTTATCATAATCACTTTAAAAATGTTTAAATACAAAGTGTGTAACTCAGCATATTATATCGCTGCACAAATCAAGATTAACATTATTGTTCAATTTAGGATGTTTTCTTCTTTTATAAGAGACATCTTCCTATCTGTTGCTTGTAAGTGGTATATTCTTATATTCTAGAAATGACATGTCCTTAGCTCGATTCAAAGTAAACTGATCTGCTGAGTATCTTCAAGAATTTAGATGAATTGAAGATTTGATAAATGCTGATTATCTTCATGAACCTTAAATGAAGAAGATGAATATCAAAACTTTAAGCCCTGAAAAACTGAGGCTTATATTGTTTACAATCCCTAAAAAAGGTATTTTTTGATTCGATAATAAGACATCTAAGATAACGCATCTTTTTTACATAGCACTTTTACGTCCGATTAAGGTTCTGCACGCAGGACAATGGTGAACAGCATCTTTACAGCCTTCAATCAAGAAGGGGATGAAGCAACAAATACCGGTAAAGAAAAACAGAGCCAGGCAAAGAATCCAAACAAGCACTCCAATTTCGTATTGCACTTGTGTCTGAATCTGAGCATGGCAGTTTCCGCAGGTCATGTTTACAGGGTATCTTCCGAAATGAACTGGCTGAGCAGCTATCACAACAACTTGGGCTGGGGCGGCCTGTGGGTACTGTCCCTGCGGTGGGTACTGGGCCTGTGGTGGGTACTGTCCCTGCGGTGGGTACTGGGCCTGTGGTGGGTACTGTCCCTGCGGTGGATACTGGCCCTGTGGCGGGTACTGGGCCTGTGGAGGGTATGGTGGCGCTTGATCTGCTGCAGGCTGGCATGGTGGCGCTTGTCCTGCCGCTGGCGGGTAAGGTGGCGCTTCTCCTTTTGCTTCATACGGTGGTGGTGCTGACATGATTTACTAAAAGGGGAAAAAGGATAAGTCGTGAAGTTTTGTTGCGACGGATTAAATTTAAACATGTTAAACATGTTAAACATATCGTAATAAGTCTATAGTTACACAGTCGTTGAAAAAAAACAGTCGTAAAATCTTCGAGCCCTGTAAAACTGAGCTTCGCATCGCATACGATCCTTACAGATTAGATGTCCACAAAGAAGGGGAAAAGCAGATACGGATCCTGGACAAGAGGTCATGGGACAGGACGTCGTTAACCTATTTCTACAGGACACGGGTCTAAAAGACGCAGGAGAACGTAGGTTATTTAGTAAAATTTAAAATCTATGGAATGCTGAAACTAGTATGTTATATATGATGATAGATAGTAATAGAGTAATGTACAAATAATATAAAGGCCGGCGAAATAAAACGATACCTGGACTACTGAAATAGCTGACAAGCAAGCTAGCACTATAATTCCATGCACAACATGGAGTGTATGTAACACTAACACAGATCACAACAACTTGTACAATGTACAATATACATTGTACAATGTACATCATGATAGGAAGTTCTAATGCTTCACATAACCTAGCAGTGACTTGCTCAAAGTAATGTGACTCAATGTGATCTTGTTACATCGTCAGGTATTGTATAATAAGCAGTTACATCACTGCTTGGAGTGTGATAATATTAATTTCACAACTTTGAGTTGTGAAAATAGTTTTATCAAACGAGTTTGACGAGTTGGATAAAACGAGTTAAATAACGAGTTTGACGAGTTGTGTAACTCATGTTATCACACGAAAAGCAGTGTAAATGCATTCGCTGATGATCGACGAAATGATGCTAGCGAACGCAGCATTTACATCGGAAATTAATGACCGATAATATTACTACATATAATATCCCAGAGTCAAACTTTCTAGAGGACGCATCCTTATCTTGTTTTGATAAGGAACTATATTACTGCAGTGAGAACTTCGTTTCATCAAATGTGCTTTGATTATAATCATTTGGCTGTGGATTTACTCCTAATTACAACATTGATTCGGTATTAAACATTTGTTAAAACCAATGGGGGAGCAGGAGTTATCACACCACTATTTTCCTGTTAATCACAGCCGAAATGTAGGACCTATGAGAGAACATATAAATTATAATCAGATAGGACGGGATTGAGTTATCGAGGATAATATGCGATGAAATAGTGAATATATGCATTCTTCAGGGCGGACTTTATAATAGTATTCGTCCGAACTTTTTTTTTTGGTTTTGCACATTTATTTAATTTGTAATTTTAATCCCTCCCAATTACCGAATGTTAATTCGATAAGTTGCAGGAGGGTATGTGGCTTTATGCCAGAGCGTAGACGTAGCATCCTGGGTAGTGGGTATCTTCCACGAACAGTTTATGGTGTATTAAAACACATTTTTACCTTAGTTGCATGATTTAGTTCACACTTAGATAATATTTAAGTGCGACTTTGGGAGTCGAACTTAACGTGCACTTGGACACAACTGTCGTTTTGAGAATCTGACATGGCAAAAACGGGCGCAGCTGTCGGTAGGCTAATTTTTAAAGTATTTATGTTGCTCACGAGTCTTTAGGACCTTTCTAGTTAACAGTCCAATAGCCCATTTGTGAGTATTGTTATTGTTCGCTCGGCAAAATCCGTTTTTCAGCCATATTTCCGAAAATAAGCATTATAAGGAATATATTGCTTCGCAATACAAAAATTCGAGTGACCGCGAAACCCTGAAAAAGGGTGTGGTCGAAAACGCCCCAATTGCATTTACTACAAAAATGCAATAGTGGCCAAATGTTTTAAGCATCATCTAGAGAGGTGATAACCGTCGAGAAATCGCTTTTAACACAAAAAAGCTAACGAGTTTCCCTTTCGTCTCGGACTACGTGAAGGGTACTTAAAGTTAAATTGTGGTCTGTTTGGAATGAGCGAGATCATACCATCTTAGCGGGGCGCCAAATCGTTGTTTGAATGTGGGACAATTTTGAAAAACTTAACTGAGGTACTAGCAAAACTTCGCATTTTGCTCTAGAAACACACTTTTTTAGAGATTTTACCGGTGTTTCCTCTAAAATCACCTTATAATTTGTTTAATTTTAGGGAGAGGAGCCAAAAGGGGAGGGGGGGCAACAGGCAACGTTACGCCACCGCTCATCTCTAAAATATATAAAGTACAAAAGAAAAGTATTAAAATGACAAGTTTGGAGTTGGGGCACAATTTGTCAAAACGTGTCCACTACACTCACCAAACACTGCACTCGTTAACTATAAGGTGTTGTCGAGATACACTCAACTTGAAATGAGATAACCTCCAAATACATATCCAAAGGTACTTCTGCACATCATTCTAGAGCAGTGTCGTCAGATGAAAACACACTCTGTACAAAATCAGATAAATTTAGAAATTATCTTAGAAATGATTCTTACTATAGCTTTTGTCTGTAAAAGGTGTGTAACATTTGAAATACCGAAATTAGAGGCCACGCATGTCTTAATTATAATTACCTGGCTGGTTATTTGTTCCTGCCTACAAATATTCCAACCTCAAACGATAATCTTGTGTCATTTTAATTGGCTGTAAATCGTCTCAAATTCGATGGGCTAATATACGCGACAGAGCAATTGCAAACCTGACAAAATGAAAGGTATAACAGGCGGTGAATTTCATGAAAATGAGTGAGTCTAAATCAACTATAATTGTCACAGCAAATTTATAACCGACGAAGCTTCAATTCAATACTCTCTGGGGGTGGGGCCAATCAGGCCTTCCTTGAAGCTGGAGATAAGACAATAGAGATCGTGACTAAAACATCTCACACAAAACAAGTCACGGGCATGACCTAATAAGGGCACCACGTGTAACAGCTGCTACAGCATACAGTACATGTACGAGTCAGGTAACTGGGGAAATGACGAGTAATTATACGGACACAAGAATGCGGGGGTAGCTGCTGGTGTACAATGTAACTCGTTAATCAAGCACACACACATGAGATCACAATATCACATAACAACCAACACACAGATCACCCTCTGTAATTGTTGAACAAACGAATATTTTACAAACACTCAGGTTATACTTATATCAATATGAGATGGAACATCTCTAGGAAGCAGGCGGAGAGCTAGAGAGAGAGAGCCGTACGGTTATAGAGAAACACTACTATATTACATAATTATATAATAGTCTATATACTACAGCGCGTGTAGCAGAAGTCAATAATGTGCGTGTAAACGTTTAGGGGTCGTTCACTGATTAGGTTACGTCGCTTACAGAGGGAAATGTACGAAGCTATAATGTAACTTTTGCTGCTTGTGTAAGCTATTTCAGAGCCTTACGTAATATGGAATACACTATACATTACACTACACATTACACTACACTACACTACACTACACTACACTACACTACACTACACTACACTGCACTGCACTACACTACACTACACTACACTACACTACACTACACTACACTACACTACACTACACTACACTACACTACACTACACTACACTACACTACACTACACTACACTACACTACACTACACTACACTACACTACACTACACTACACTACACTACACTACACTACACTACACTACACTACACTACACTACACACTACACACTACACTACACTACACTACACTACACTACACTACACTACACTACACTACACTACACTACACTACACTACACACTACACTACACTACACTACACTACACTACACTACACTACACTACACTACACTACACTACACTACACTACACTACACTACACTACACTACACTACACTACACTACACTACACTACACTACACTACACTACACTACACTACACTACACTACACTACACTACACTACACACTACACACTACACACTACACACTACACACTACACACTACACACTACACACTACACACTACACACTACACACTACACACTACACACTACACACTACACACTACACACTACACACTACACACTACACACTACACACTACACACTACACACTACACACTACACACTACACACTACACACTACACACTACACACTACACACTACACACTACACACTACACACTACACACTACACACTACACACTACACACTACACACTACACACTACACACTACACACTACACACTACACACTACACACTACACACTACACACTACACACTACACACTACACACTACACACTACACACTACACACTACACTATACGAAGTGTACTCTACCTCTCTTATCTAGGTTGAATGTTACAGACAGCATGGATATAACCTCCAGAGTGACATCTGTGTGACAAGTGTATGAACCACGGTCAGATGAAGGTTAATATGACAGCTCGGGAAAGTGTATTTAAAGCTAAATCGAAGCATTGTTACAGAAATGAACATCAAGATGTAAGAGCTGCCATGTCACGATATAACAATTATCATATGGACAAGACAATTATTACACGTGATATTATACTCATCAGTTGGATGGAAACTGCACTGTTTGCTGACGACTGACGTCCAGAAATAGCTAATTTAGAGTTGGCCACAGTCCAGAATTCTTTCCAGATCAGAAATGAGGAATTACTACTCGAACGTACCCTGTTGTTAAGACTATACGATTATATCAGAAATGAGAAAGGAGAAACGTCACAATTTATGATGCAATAAATACTACTTATTTTATCAATATGTGAACTGCAAACTTGAATGGCAGCTAATTAATTAGCAAAATAAATTTGGTACAACAGCACAATACACAGCCGGTGAGCTTAGCTTTATAAATTATAAAGTTAAAAATATTTAAAAATACATTCCAACCTTTTTAAACCTCTACTCTTCAATTCACACTCTATATATAATATATATATATTCATTTATATACTCTCCAATCATTTACTTGTTACCGGTCCCCTAATTTTCCTCCTGGAAATTAGGAAACGCTATTTTTACAAGACGGACATTTTGCAAAAAATCTGTCGCTTATATCTATTTCACCTTCTTCTTTGAGACGATCTCATATCCTGCATCGAATGATCTGTACGCCCGAGTAAGGTATTGCATGAAGGACTTAGGACAATGGTGAACCGCGTCTTTGCTGCAGTCCATTAAGAAGGGGATAAAACAACAAATACCGAAAGTAAAGAAAAACATAATAGTTTAGCTCTTTCTAGTCCCCTGCTACACGGCATGTAAACAGGGATTGGCTAGTTAGAGGCGGTCCGTGTAGGCCTTACACTGTGCTTTCAGCAATACTCATAACACAGAACCATGCAACAAATTCAAGTAACCACCCCGCAGTTTCGTAGCGCACTTGCGTCTGAATCTGAGCTTGGCAGTTTCCACAGGTCATGTTTGCAGGGTATATATCGAAATGAACTGGCTGAGCAGCTATCACAACAACTGTGAACTGGGGCTGGGGCGGCCTATGGGTACTGGGGCGGCCTGTGGGTACTCATGGCCCTGCGGTAGGTAGTAGGTACTGGCCCTGCACGGCGGGTACTGGCCCTGTGGTGGGTACTGGCCCTGTGGTGGGTACTGTCCCTGCGGCTGGTACTACTACTGGCCCTGCAAGGCGGGTACTGGCCCTGTGGTGGGTACTGGCCCTGCAAGGCGGGTACTGGCCCTGCACGGCGGGTACTGGCCCTGTGGTGGGTACTGGCCCTGCAAGGCGGGTACTGGCCCTGCACGGCGCGTACTGGCCCTGTGGTGGGTACTGGCCCTGCAAGGCGGGTACTGGCCCTGCACGGCGGGTACTGGCCCTGCACGGCGGGTACTGGCCCTGTAGTGGGTACTGGCTCTGCGGCGGGTACTGGCCCTGTGGTGGGTACTGGCTCTGCGGCGGGTACTGGCCCTGTGGTGGGTACTGGCTCTGCGGCGGGTACTGGCTCTGCGGCGGGTACTAGCCCTGTGGTGGGTACTAGCCCTGTGGTGGGTACTGGCTCTGCGGCGGGTACTGGCCCTGTGGTGGGTACTAGCCCTGTGGTGGGTACTGGCTCTGCGGCGGGCACTGGCCCTGTGGTGGGTACTAGCCCTGTGGTGGGTACTGGCCCTGCACGGCGGGTACTGGCCCTGTGATGGGTACTGGCTCTGCGGCGGGTACTGGCTCTGCACGGCGGGTACTGGCCCTGTGGTGGGTACTGGCTCTGCGGCGGGTACTGGCCCTGTGGTGGGTACTAGCCCTGTGTAGTAGAGGCTCTTACGGGCAAAAAGACGTGTTTTCTGCTACGAGTTTAGAGACCTAACCGCTAATTGGACACAATAGTATGATGTCTAAGAATCGATAATATGTTAAGAAGTATAAATTTGGCCTTATTAGTCACGTGCTATACCAATGCGCGTTTTAAACTTTGACAGTCTATTACTCTAAGGCAAATAAAGTAATTATATTCATATTTTGTCAGCAATAAGATTACATTGTTTTCTATTTGGTGTGAAAATATGAGCTAGAACGGACATAATCTCGCTGAGTTATAGCTGTTTGAAATTTATGATGAACGCGCGGATGCCAATTGATAACAACTAAATGCTTTTGCGCGTAGTACGCGTCGAAAATTTGGCAAAAACGCTTGCGGAGTGACAATATTCAAACTTCGATAAAGTATATGAAGTGGGTACTTCTCGGAAAGGAAAAATTTAGGCAAACACGATGTGACTATTTTTGGGTTGATTTAATACAACTGCAAAAAATTATTCAAACTTCAAGCAAAAAAGTCAAAATTTTTACCACCTTTTTGGATTTTTACCCCCAAAAAAATAGAGGGATTTTTCAAATTTTTAAACCATCTTGTGCGGCTGTGTTTTAGCTATCTCCATGCAAGTTTTGCCGACATGCCAACAAAATTAACTTGTTGAAAATATCAAAAAACATAGTTTTTTGGCCTATTTTTTGCCCAAAAATCGGTTGTTTGCGATTTTACCCCCAAAAAGTCAGTCCAATCATCTTAAAACCACTTCTAATCGATTCTACGGTCAAAAATACGTCTAGTAAGGTGTATCTGGGGTCCCTAGCGTATCGAGCAGACAATGCCCGTAAGAGCCTCTACTAGCCTCTACTAGCGGGTACTGGCCCTGTGGTGGGTACTGGCTCTGCGGCGGGTACTGGCCCTGTGGTGGGTACTGGCTCTGCGGCGGGTACTGGCCCTGTGGTGGGTACTAGACCTGTGGTGGGTACTGGCCCTGCACGGCGGGTACTGGCCCTGTGGTGGGTACTGGCTTTGCGGCGGGTACTGGCCCTGTGGTGGGTACTGGCTCTGCGGCGGGTACTGGCCCTGTGGTGGGTACTGGCCCTGTGGTGGGTACTGGCTCTGCGGCGGGTACTGGCCCTGTGGTGGGTACTGGCTCTGCGGCGGGTACTGGCCCTGTGGTGGGTACTGGCCCTGTGGTGGGTACTGGCTCTGCGGCGGGTACTGGCCCTGTGGTGGGTACTGGCTCTGCGGCGGGTACTGGCCCTGTGGTGGGTACTGGCCCTGTGGTGGGTACTGGCTCTGCGACGGGTACTGGCCCTGTGGTGGGTACTGGCCCTGTCTACTGGAATACAGCTAAATAAAATACTTAAGCTGTACTTCGGGCCTCAATCTATCTGGACTACTTCTACTACTACTACTACTACTACTACTACTACTATGTCGGAACTAAGTGAAAGTCCGATCTACGCCAGATAACCCCCTCCATATATATCCCTGTCCCGCATCAAGGTTCGCAGTTCCTCTTTAGAGTTTGTCCCAACTTCCTTCAGAAGCATAGACAAGTAACTTTGTCTTGGTCGGCCTTGCTGTGCTCTAGGAATACAGCTAAATGTTCGGAAGTTATTAACCTTGCTTCTTTATCCAGCACTCCTTTTACTTTAACTCTCCATTTTAATTTGTTATTCAACTTGAAGAATGGTTTATACTCAAATACCATTTATCCCGTCTATATTCAAAAAATATTATTTGTTCATCAACCATGATCATTGTTACTGGTGTCCCCAGGTAACCATCATTGTTGGGGGTTTTATTTTGATGTCAATTTGAAAATTACAAATACAATAAATTTTAGTGAATGTTTTTTAATCTCCACCAACCATTATATCTTAATAAAAATGAAATACGTAAACTAATTCTATTATCAGAAAAATGAACAGTTATATAGTTATATAACACTTGAAGATGAAAATAAATTTAAATTTTATTTCAAAAACTAAAATTCCCATAAACACGAACGGTTTCGTTGCTTATGAAATTGCGATAAAAAATGCATGCTTGAATCACATCTCAGTTCAGTTCATTATAATGTGTACTCGGTTAGTAAACTAAAATAAATTAAATTTATATAAAGTCGGTTACATTTGTACTAATGAAGTTAATTGTATGCCTATCAAATCTATAATTTATAACGTACTTAAATATGACTAAATTTGACTGTAAATTTAACCGTTGGACTCAGCATATGATGGCTGAGTTTTAACTTTTACACATCCTAGTCTCCCCCCATAGGGGACGTAATTTGCATCATCCGTCAGGAAAGAATTATCTGCTGGAGAAAAGTTCAAGTGCATGCTTCAGCTTAAGTTAATATAAAGATCAGCTCTTCAAGTTATTAATAATTTCAGGAGAAGGAACTAAAAATAATACACATTTGCATGCTGAGTAGAATTGAGAGTCTTGTACAACATATATAAGGCATGTATAATGTATAATGTATATACATATATGTAATATGCATGTATGTATTATGTTGAGCTGAACTGAGTGTACAAAAGATGTTTTAATCTAAGATATAGCATCTCTGCGGCCGACGAAGCTTTTGCACGCTGGGCAGTGATGTACAGCGTCTTTACAGGCGTCCACTAGGAAGGGGATGAAGAAACAGAAGAATGTGAAGAAGAAAAGAGCCAAACAAATTATCCAGGTAAGCACTCCAGTTTCGTAACGCACTTGCGTCTGAATCTGAGCTTGGCAGTTTCCACAGGTCATGTTTACAGGGTATCTTCCGAAGTATGGCGGCTGAGCAGCTATCACAACAACTGGGGCCTGGGTTCCCTGTGGGTACTGGCCCTGTGGTGGGTACTGTCCCTGATTGTAGGGTGGTGCTACGTGTTGTGCATACGGCGGAGGCGGTGCTGCCATGATTTAGTTTTACTAGAGGGGTGATTAGGGTTAGTTAAAACTAAGATAAAAGGTATTTACATTAGAAATTTGATAATACAAACTTAATGTTCGTATACGTCTTATTAACATCGCGTCTAATAATATTACAAAAAGTAAGGACAGTGTTGTGTGGAATAAGTTCAGAAAATCAAAAACACAAATATTTTCATTCAATGCTGACAGATCGAATAAAACAAGCAGACGGTGAAACGAGCCAGAAGAATGTTTATTTTAGTGATCTCAAGAGACAATTTCAACATTATCACATTGAAAACTATACAGCTCTGATTTTACAAGTAAAAGCTGTATAGTTTTCAATGTGATAATGTTGAAATTGTCTCTTGAGATCGCTAGAATAAACATTCTTCTTTTTGTTTTTAAATGGCTCGCGGTTTTTTCATACCGACTTCAAATGACGCAAACGTAAAGCTTACACTTAAGACGAAAGAGAAATATGTTATAATAGTAAGAAGAAGGAGCTGTAAGAACAGATGTAAACACTTAAACTTAGCTTAACTCACTTAGTGTATGACTATAACTCCATGATCTCATGCGATAAATAGTGGAGCTGTAATATGCGACCCCATATTTCATATTGAGGCTGAGTGTACAATTCAATCATAGAACGGAGGCTTAGGGGAGGATGATGGGTGCAGGCCGCAGAGGGGGGGGGGGGGTCATAATACCTAACATATGTGTACTGAATTTAGAAATACTAAAAAAGATCAGAAGATCGAAAAAAAGTTCACAGTCTTCCAGTTCCAATACTCTAATTAATATAGACACAGAGGTATTGCGCAATTTACATACTATAGTACTATAAATGAGAGAATAAGTTATCGAACCTGTGCACAACGTACTAACGTAATAATGCACGATGCTTCTGATTTGTGTTCAAGTGACTACAATAAAATATCAGCAGTAGAATTCTCTTAACACCACAAGTTAATAGTCATTTCTATAGTTGGCATAATCGTTGTCTGTGATGCGACTGGTGGGTCTGTTCCTAAATATAACCTTGCAGCAACGAGTAAATTTTTCATAATTGGGAAATACGCACTCAATGAACTTTTAAAATTGAAAGGTGCTGAACTTGTAAAAGCAATCTCCGAACGTTTAGCTGATAAAGTAACAAGAAATGCGGCCGCTTTCATTTTGTGGATGACCGCTCAATTTCCCGATCCGTGATGGCGAATTTATTATATTCCATTCAACCTGGGGACCCCAGGCTTTATTGTTAATAAACATGCAGATTATATGTCATATGGCGGAGTGACAGTGGCCGACACTCGGTCACAAACACGTCATCAAAAATCTTAACACTACACTCAGCATTCAGCAACAACAGACAAAATTACAGAACTGCAGTGCACCTCATCACGTGGGACATTGTGGTTTAAACAAACAACTCCACACCAATCGCAAATCAAGCATGCAGCGCTTATTCTATGTGCGGCGACGGAGAAGAAACTGTCTCACACTTTCTAGGACAGTGTCTGGCTATTGCCCAAATAAGAGGTCAATATTTCCAGGACTATTACCTCTCCGTCAATGAAATATTCGACAACCAAACACATCTCCACTATTGTCAACTTCCCAAACCGCACCAAACGCTTAATATAAGGGGACATACACCAAAAGCTTTTATGCCCTGGCCCTGCTGTTAACTTCATATTAAGAAAGTATACATCAAAACAATAAGATTTGATACATTAAAAATTATTTTTGAGGACCCGCACTTTCGAAAAAATATATATTTTCTTTTTCGAAAATTTTGGAAATTTTGAGAAGTCTGTCACTGTAATACCGATATTTCGGTCATTTTAAAAGTCTTTTGGCTGATTTTTTTACTTAAGATTACTTACAATCGGTACAAGAAACCCCTGAAAGGATTATATAATTGAACCATAAATGACGAAGTTATAAACCAAACAAGGTCGAGAGAAGCAAAATTGAAATGTTTGTAAAAATCAAAGTTGTATATTTTACCATTCACCCAGGTCATAAGATATCGCTTCAAAAATTCTTGTGAGTGTAGCTGATAATCATATCCAACTTTTTGGAACAGGATTTCTCTCAATTTTTAGTTTTAAGGTATGATTTGTGGCCTCAAACGACTAAGTAAAATTCATCGTAAAAAGGGCCAAACATGGCAGATATAAGGCTTAAAATGCCTATAACTGACAAAGTATCAATTTTTTTGAAATAATTTTTACAGAATCGTAATCAGCTTGAGAAAACGAATCTTTTAGTACCAAATTTATAATAGTTAAAGACACAAAATTTGTAAAAAAATGTGTACAATTTGTACAAAATTTATACAAGGGGGGGACCCTTGTGTTCGAGCTAGAAAATTATTTAAGACAATTTGTCTTCTAAAATCACCTATTTGGTACTAAAAGATTCGTCTTCTCAAGCTGATTACGATTCTGTAAAAATTATTTCAAAAAAACTGATACTTTGTCAGTTATAGGCATTTTAAGCCTTAAATCTGCCATGTTTGGCCCTTTTTACGATGAATTTTACTTAGTCGTTTGAGGCCACATTTCATACCTTAAAACTCAAAATTGAGAGAAATACTGTTCCAAAAAAGTTGGATATGATTATTAGCTACACTCACAAGAATTTTTGAAGCGATATCTTATGACCTGGGTGAATGGTAAAATATACAACTTTGATTTTTACAAAAATTTCAATTTTGCTTCTCTCGACCTTGTTTGGTTTATAACTTCGTCATTTATGGTTCAATTATATAATCCTTTCAGGGGTTTCTTGTACGGATTGTAAGTAATCTTAAGTAAAAAAATCAGCCAAAAGACTTTTAAAATGACCGAAATATCGGTATTACAGTGACAGACTTCTCAAAATTTCCAAAATTTTCGAAAAAGAAAATATTTATTTTTTCGAAAGTGCGGGTCCTCAAAAATAAATTTTAATGTATCAAATCTTATTGTTTTGATGTATACTTTCTTAATATGAAGTTAACCGCAGGGCCAGGGCATAAAAGCTTTTGGTGTATGTCCCCTTAATTGTGCCAGAGGAGCTGGACCAGACTGGTGTGACATAGCGACTACTCACAAATCGTCTTAGTTCACCTTTCTATTCCACACCCAGTTGCCACTTAAGCATTCATACACGACATGACATCTTACAACACTTACCATCATCCTACATTACACATTAACTGATTCCCCCGGCATCCTCCCATAGGACTGCCTTACCCCAGAGGTGTGAGGTAGGCAAAGCATCCACATGCTATCCTCTCATGGGCCACCCAGGCCAAGCCTCTCTTAAAAAGAACAAACAAAAACGCAGGCGCGCACGATCACGGTCGCAAGCTACCATACGCGACGGGATTCCGTTCAGGCCCTTCACACTTTGTTCCTGTCTAGTTCTAATGTACCGTCACAATAGTGACTTTAATATACAAAAAAACCTCGTTCGCTAACCCTTGTCCTTGCCTTTTTAATTTTGTGCCTTCGGCATAGCTATAGGAGTCATGGATCGGGGAAAAATTGCTTATTGTTCTATTGACTATCTTGATAAGCACAACTTATTGTAATGTTCACAAATCATTTAATAAATTAGGAAAATTTAAATGCCGAGTTGTTTCCGAACTAAAAAAATTAACTGAATTCAACGAAATTTTAACGAAATTTTATTACCTTACAAGACATTTTTGTGGCGGACCAATGTGCGACGACCGAAATTTTGGCGGTCCGAAAATATGGCGAAATTGAACAAAAACCGTCACATTTCGGACGTCACAGAAAATAAGGGTATTTTTCATCATTTTGTTTTCTGACACAAAGGAAATTCAAAATTTTCTAAAAATCGGTAAAATCATGTTGAAACAAAATGAAACTTATAAATCGATTTCTTCATCTTCCTCTAAGGGGTCCGGCTCGAATCTTTCAGTTTCACTTATTGAGTTTGGTCTTAAATTGTTTATCTTGACTTAGTCTATAAGACGTTTATGTTAGCACATAAATGTAATTTATTGTAAATTTAAAACGTATAACTTGACATTAAATTCATCATGGAATATTGTGTTTATTTGTCCCACCATCATATCACTAACTTTTCAAGAACAAAATGAATCGATGAAGCCACAATTATTGGAATAAGCTAAAAATAATGCGACGGATTCTATTACGACGACCGAAATTTTGGCGGTCCGAAAATATGGCGAAATTTCGGGAAAACCGTCGCATTTCGTACGTTATAAAAATGTCTTGTAAGGTAAGCTGCCCAACTATAATGACATGATTGGAATTGTTAGTGATATTTATATAGGCAGAGTAGGCAGAGTACGTAGAGTATGCAGGTTACTATATGGTTACTACTACTAGATGATAAATGTACCTCTTATCCAGATTAGGCCTAATAAAGAAGTTTTGGATTATTGAGAAGCTGCGAATTTATATGTTACTCTATAAGTGTAGATGTACTCTAAATGTACTCCAAATGTACTTTAAATGTACTTTAAATGTAGATGTTAGAAAGCTTGTTAGCCGCAAGATATTTAATAAGCGACAAACATTTTAAGAAACTTGTGGTTGGGGTCGCATGGGAGGGGGGGGGGGGGGTTCGTATGGGACTGGGAGGGTTACTAATACTGCATAGTCTCTGTGCTCTGCGCAATAGAAACAACAAGTATCTAATTTGAACATGACGACTAAATGTATTAACGTTAGCGGTTTGATATTTAGTTTGCAATGCCGGCAACGTAACAGTAAAAAGAAACTCTTTATGCACAATATTCAGGAAGCTTGGGTACACAGTAAATATTCAAAATGTATAATAATGTGATACTGATAAAAGTCAATACTAAACTAAATCTATATCTGATGTGGATTCTCATGGGGAGGTGAGGTAGTAGGTACATTTGTTTACTTTAATAAGTTAATAGTAAGTATCCGCTCAGCAGAGGAAAGAGGTGATGCACATTTTGTATTATGTACCTAACGCTTGTAACG